CCTTTTCCATCATGACCATTGTTTCTCCCATTGAATCCACCTCTACCACAATGACGATTAGCTTCATCTTCCTCTATTTCCTCTAACCATTTCTCTAACAAATCGTTAAAAACTATAATCACAAATGCTCCAAACACATCCAAACCTAATAGATGGCGATTGACTTTTCTGCATAATTCAACAGAAAAGTGCATGCTCATATCTAAAAAACAGTAGGAAATCCTACCTCTAAATCTGGATGTAAAATTTTAGATACAAGAAAAATATGATAGGCTAAACACATGGTGAATAATATGCTCCAATTGTCAATCAATTCAATGAACGGTTGATGAAACTCTCCAGGATGTGTAACAAAATAGAGTATCAGAGATGTTCCAATTAAACAAATGAGTTCAATATGCTTTTATACAAAAACTAAAATCTTGGGTTGACAGTGAACGGATGCCAATACATGATCAGGCACAAAACAAAGTTATGCATAAATTGAACTGCAATCCGAAACTTATAGCTATCGTATTTTTGGAGTTTATAATTCTTATAGAAAACATATTTGGGAGATATTAGAAAGCATGCCACTAGGAAAATATTTGACGCCAATAAGGCAATTCACTTCAGATGTTTTCTAACTTTTTTGGAATCATGTACCTTCTCATCAAGTTTGAGAGAAACAATATGGTTTCCAGATAAGGTATGTCAGGGTCTACTTCAAGATTTTCGACTTCTTCCACAAGTAATGGACGATTTGGAGCGTTAACAGTAGGCATTCTCATCAGAGGATTTTCAAGGTCCCTATTAGGATCAACCTTCATAGCATGCATTGGAGGATTTTCAACATCGGTAGTAAGTGGATCGTGACTATCATCCATGCTAAAAGAGTTTCGCTAAAAATCAAAGAAAAAAATTGTGATTAGATATAAAAAATGAGCAAAAGAGAGTATCCACTAGCTCAACCTAAGAGAGTATGCAAACCTTCTTCTACAAGCTTGAGGATGCAAACCTTCTTCTACAAGACTGAAGATGGAGCCAATGGCTAGTTCATCTTCCTTATCATCTCGCGCAATGTGATATAGTAAATAGATATTCTAGAGAGAGAGAGAGAAAGAGAGAGGGGCATGTTTATAGAGTCTGGTGATTTAAGCCAACGGTTACTTCTCATCTAGCTACTTTAATCTTAATCTTCCTTACCCCATCTCTCGCAGTGTGATATAGCAAATGGACATGATGGACATGAGAGAAAGAGAGGAGGAGGCATATGCATATAAAGAGTCTGGTGTGGTGATGGAGCCAACGGCTACTTGTCTTCCACACCTTGTAGTGTGATATATAGCAAATGGAGGGTTGAAGAGAGAAGAGGCAAATAGATATATATATATATATATTTGAGAGAGAGAAGAGGCAAATAGATAGTTGAGACAGAGAAGAGGCAAATGGATAGATAGAGTTTGATGGCTAGCATATCTTAGAGCATCTACAATGTTTGTAATTGGAGTTGCCGAAGCTATAATATAGCAGGTTTGCACCAAAATGGTTCTCCAATGGTTGAAGATGGCAAATGCTAAATTTGGCAGATGCCAAAGTATGTGCCAAATTTGACACAAGCTTGGCAAATGCCAAATGTGCCAGCTCACTCAAAACCAAACGTTCCCTCCCTCCCTCCCTTTCTCATCCTTTACAGCAGAACAGAGATTGGGTGAAACAGCCATTTTTCTTGAATTTTTTGTAAAACTAAATCCACTAACTTTTTTTTTTAAAGAGAAATTCTTTATAACATAATTTTTTTTTTAAAACAGAAATTGGGCGAAACAACCAAACCGTTAAAAAAAAAAATTAAAAACATTTCACAAAATTTTTTTTAAACATAATCAGATAACAACAACAACAACAATCAAGCAATTTCAACCCTATCAAGAAATTTCAAACGAATTTTAAACAATAAATACTTGGATCTTTGTGATCTACAATCTGCGAAATGGGGAAGGAGGAGGATGATCAGCGTTCTTGGTTTCCATCTTCCTTTTCAACTTGTTTGGGATATGCGAAGAGGGGTTTGTGACGAGGAGAGAGAGAGAGAGAGAGAGAGAGAGGGGGGGGGTCACCTTCAATAGTTGTGCAATCAATGTTTTCACTTTCAACAGTTGTGTGATCAAGGTCTCTACTTTCAACAGTTGTGTAATCATTTTCAGCTCCAACTAAACCATCATTATTGTCATCAACCCCAACCTTTTCACCTGAAGGGCCTTTTCCATCATGACCGTTGTTTCCCCCATTAGATCCACCTCTACCACGATGACAATTAGCTTCATCTTCCTCCATTTCCTCTATTTATTTCTCTAACAAATTATTAAAGATTAAGCACAAATGCTCCAAACACATCCAAACCTAATGGATGGCGATTGACTTTTCTGCATAAGTGCATGCTCATATCTAAAAAAATTAGTAGGAAATCCTACCTCTAAATCTGGATGCAAGATTTTGGATACAAGAAAAGTGTGATAGGCTAAACACATGGTGAGTAATATGCTCCAATTGTCAATCAATTCATTAAACGGTTGATGAAACTCTCTAGGATGTGCAATAAAATAAAGTATCAGAGATGTTTCAATTAGACAAATGAGTTTAATAAAGCTTTGATTCCAAAACCAAAATCTCGGGTTGATAGTGAACGGACCCCAATATATGATCGGGCACAAAATGAAGTTATGCATAAATTGAACTGCAATTTGAAACTTATAGCTATCGTATTTCTCGAGTTTATAATCCTTATAGAAAATATATTTGGGAAATATTAGAAAGCATGCCACTAGCAAAATATTTGACGCCAATAAGGCAATTCACTTCAGATGTTTTCTAACTTTTTTGGAATCATGTACCTTCTCATCAAGTTTGAGAGGAACAATATGGTTTCCAGATAAGGTATGTCAGGGTCTACTTCAAGATTTTCGACTTCTTCCACAGGTAATGGACAATTTGGAGCGTTAACAGTAGGCATTCTCATCAGAGGATTTTCAAGGTCCCCAGTAGGATCAACCTTCATAGCATGCATTGGAGGATTTTCAACATCGGTAGTAAGTGGATCGTGACTATCATCCACGCTAAAAGAGTTTCGCTAAAAATCAAAGAAAAAAATTGTGATTAGATATAAAAAATTAGCAAAAGAGAGTATACACTAGCTCAGCCTAAGAGAGTATGCAAACCTTCTTCTACAAGCCTGAGGATGCAAACCTTCTTCTACAAGACTGAAGATGGAGCCAATGGCTAGTTCATCTTCCTCATCATCTCGCGCAATGTGATATAGTAAATAGATATTCTAGAGAGAGAGAGAGAGGGGCATGTTTATAAAGAGAGTCTAGTGATTTAAGCCAACGGTTACTTCTCATCTAGCTACTTTAATCTTAATCTTCCTTACCCCATCTCTCGCAGTGTGATATAACAAATGGACATGATGGACATGAGAGAAAGAGAGGAGGAGGCATATGCATATAAAGAGTCTAGTGTGGTGATGGAGCCAACGGCTACTTGTCTTCTACACCTTGTAGTGTGATATATAGCAAATGGAGAGTTGAAGAGAGAAGAGGCAAATAGATATATGTATATATATATTTGAGAGAGAGAAGAGGCAAATGGATAGTTGAGACAGAGAAGAGGCAAATGGATAGATAGAGTTTGATGGCTAGCATATCTTAGAGCATCTACAATGTTTGTAATTGGAGTTGCCGAAGCTATAATATAGCAGGTTTGCACCAAAATGGTTCTCCAATGGTTGAAGATGGCAAATGCTAAATTTGGCAGATGCCAAAGTATGTGCCAAATTTGACACAAGCTTGGCAAATGCCAAATGTGCCAGCTCACTCAAAACCAAACGTTCCCTCCCTCCCTCCCTTTCTCATCCTTTACAGCAGAACAGAGATTGGGTGAAACAGCCATTTTTCTTGAATTTTTTGTAAAACTAAATCCACCAACTTTTTTTTTTGAAAGAGAAATTCTTTATAGCATAATTTTTTTTTAAAAACAGAAATTGGGCAAAACAACCAAACCGTTAAAAAAAATTAAAAAACATTTCACAAAAAAAAATTTAAACATAATCAGATAACAACAACAACAACAACAATCAACCAATTTCAACGCAATCAAGCAATTTCGACCCTATCAAGAAATTTCAAACGAATTTTAAACAATAAATACTTGGATCTTTGTGATCTGCAATCTGCGAAATGGGGAAGGAGGAGAATGATCAGCGTTTTTGGTTTCCATCTTCCTTTTCAGCTTGTTTGGGATATGTGAAGAGGGGTTTGTGACGAGGAGAGAGAGAGAGAGAGAGAGAGGGGAGGTTTGTGACGCAATTTGATCTGCGATCTTCGGAAAGAAATGGTTAGTTTTGGGAAAGAGAAGGTGGGTTCTAGGGGAGCGACGACGGAGAGAGAGAAGCTGCTTCACCTTCTCCATCAAAGGATGGAAACTTAGAGACGCTGCTTTGGGTTTCATAAGAGAGAGAAGAGGTTCTAGAAATGAGAGAGTGATGAGAGAGACTGAGTGGGGTTCTAACAAAAGAAATGAGAGTAGTGCGTTAGGGGGGGCTCGAATTTGGAGCCCCCGAATCCCCCAAATCAACCAAGAATAGAAGAAGAAGAAAGAAGGAAGAAAAAGGACGAAGGGAAGAAAGAAGAAGAAGGACTGAAGGGGGCCAATCGGGCTAAAGGCGGAGGCGGGGCCGGAGGTGACGGCGGTCGTGCTGCGACGATCACTGGTGCTGCGACGATTGCTGGTGCTGCGACGACCGGCGGCGGCGAGGCGGCCCTTCTCTCCTCTCCTCTCCTCTCTCTTTCTCCCTCTCTCCTCCTCTTCCCCTCTCTTCTCTTTCTTTCTCTCTTCTCTTTCTCTCCCTCTCTGCGTTTCAGACTGGAAAATGAAGGGAAAAAAAAAATGCCCAAAACGACGTCGTTTTGGGCATTAGGAGGATTCGGGAGAGAAAAGTTTCGAACTACGAAACATTATTCTTTAATTTTTAATGTAAGTAATTTTTTTTATTTAATTTTGTAGTGATATGTAAATAGTGTGATAAATTATATATACTAGTATATGCACGTGCCTAAAGGCACAGTGCAATTAATGATGAGATCAAAATATAATTGAATATGCATAATACAATTATTAAATTAAAATATAATTTATCAAATTCGTTACTAAAAATTTGAGGTCAAAATATAAATACAGATCTGATTGGTTTCGACTTTCAAATGAATTTTGTAAAATTACTGGGGCATAAATGCACTCCAATAAAATTAAAGAAAAAACTGAAAAAGGCAATTTATTGTAAGAATATGTCTCGTGGGCTTTGTCACTGAGGTGGATAACAAAGTTCTATTAAAAATATTAAAAAAAAAAAAATCCTTTTTTCCAATTTTTAAACAAATAACATCACCCCTATTATCTCTCTTCTCTCTCTTTCTCACTTGCCCTGTGAAATGATTACATTTTAATAGTAAAACATAAACCACTTTGATCACCATTTTTTTTTAACAGAACCCAATTTACCTTTGCCTCCAAATCCCTCTCCAAACTCTTACATAAATTCCCTACTTTCTTTTTACCTTATCCTAACTACAAAAATCCATAAATCTAGGACATGCTCTTCACTTTAAGAAGTCCCATAAAACCCATAAAAAAACAGGCACCAATTTCACACTTAAAAAAACGTCAAGCCATTAGGCCATACACCACTTCTTTAGGAAGTCCCCTTCTCAAGACACTCCTGCATCTACTCCCACTCACTTTATATAGAATAGAATGAATTTATATATAAGTAAATTTTGTTGATGTGTTTAGGAATACTGGTTAAGATATAGAAATACTTGGCACATGAAATGATTAATTATATGTGACAATACATTTTTTTTTTTTTAGCTAGGGGTGACTATTGGTTCAATAGTTAAGACTTGACCTAATAACCTTGAGGTTATGGGTTCAAGTCTTAGGACTACTACTTTGTCCATTATGCCAAATGTTAGGTGTGTACTCAATCTTTCTCTTCCCAAACACGCATTAATTAGGTGTGTACTCAATCTTTCTCTTCCCAAACACGCATTAATGTATACTAATTGGGTGTTGTTTTTTTTATTTTTTGTTTTTAGCTCACCAACATATTCAAAATTACATCCCAACTAATCTTGAGATGTATGTATTTTGCATATACCAAGTAATTTTCGTCATTTGTACATTCTTGAGAATTTTCATACAACCTTACAAAAATTAACAACCATATAGGACAGTCAAATATTTTTTCCAAAACAAATATTTCAAGCTCTCTGACTTCTAAAAAAATAAATCATACAAAGAAATCTAGTTGTAACAATATATTCAATAGAAATCAAAACCTAAATATTCAATAGAAGTAATGAAACACCAAATATATTCAAAAAACATACATGCAGGTGTATGTATTTCTCTATAACTTAAGTAGTATTCAAAAAACATACCCATCTCTCTCTCTCTCTCTCATTTTCTCTTTCTTTTCTTAAGTTCTCACAAATCCTATGATGATCAGCCTTTGTCAGTGGTGTTTGGTTACTTCTATAGATTTCAAAAAACTGTAAACAATATATCAAAACCCAAATATATTGTAGGTTATTAAACACAAATATACTATTTTAATAACATACGAAGACTAATCTAATATACAAAGAACCACACTATTTTAACAAAAAAATTAACTTGACTGTGTTGAAATAGGCAAATTTTCATGAATCAAATTCCCAAGTTTAGAGAGAAATTAGAAGAGAGGAGTTAAATTAAGGCCAATCTAATTTAATTTGAGGTAACAGCAAAATCAAAATCACACCAAATAACTTGAGGCAATCACTTTGAGGCAACAACCTAACAAAAGTCAATCAAAATTACACCAAACCCACCAAACTAAACATTAGACCAAATAAATTGAAAGAAAGAAAACAGAGGAATAGGGGGTTTGGGGTTGGGTAGAGAGAGAAAGTAAGAGAATAACTTATTCTTTAAAGCTTGACAACAATGGCAACCACTCACCACTCTCATAATCATCCTCTCATCGTCGTCGCCATCACGCGTCGTCGCTGGGGGTAGAGACCACCACGAACACCAACTGATGGGGTAGGATGCCGAGAACGCGAGATCCGGATGCCGAGAAACCATCGCCGAGTGGGTTGGGCTCCGATGGAATGAAAGAGTATGGGACTGAAACAAAAACAGAGTGTGACAGAGTGAGAGAGAGGGTGCATTTGTAGGGGAGATGAAGGGTTGTGGAGGGAAGAATCGGCGGGAAACATATTTTGGGCCAAATAAATTTGTCCATCAATTTTGTAGATGAATTTAAATCATTGATGATGCTATGTCCGATCAAAATATATATATTTTTAAAGGAAAATGTTTGAGGGCCACAAAATTAGTGGCTTAAAACTGTCAAAACGACGTAGTTTTGGCAGTTTTGAACCATTTGAACCACTGATTTTGTGGCCCTCTAGCATTGCTGATTTTTAAAAATCATTCTCCAATATTATATAGGGAAAATCGGTCTAGGGTCCCTCTCCCACTTTTCGTAATGGAAGAGATACACAAAATTATTTTTTTATGTCTAAGGTCCCTAAACATATATCAAATGAAAGTTTCACTGGCTCCTCTCTTTCCACTCACTGAAAGACCTCTTGATCGTCTTCAACACTGGACAATTCGATTCATACAAACTCAATTTGACCGATTCAACGATCAGAAACTCCGAAACCGAACTTCAATTAGAAACCCTAGGTTTGTCCGGGATTCAACACTGCGATTACGGCATCAGTTGGCTCTGGAGGAGTTGTAAACAGCTCAAGAAACTCCAATTGCGAAGTTGCTATGCAATCGGCGATGAATCATCACTCTCATCGTTCGTCGAATGCTTAATTGGTCTCCAAGAAGTGGAATTGTGGACATGTATGGCGATAATTGACGAGGTTCCTCTTCCTCCTCACCTTTCATACACTTTCTCATTCTAGGGTTTCAAGTTCTTGAACCCCCTCAATTTCATTTTAATTCATCATCCCCTGTTTTCCCTACTCTTCCGTCAAGCTTTTACAGTCTATTTCATACACTTTCCTTACTCTTCTGTCCCTAATGCTTTAGATTTGCACCTTACAATGAACAAGTGTGATGATCAATCTGGGAAGCAAGATGCAAAAGAACAAGAAATGAAATGTCTGGTTGTAGAAGATGCAACTGTTTCAGAGCCAGGGGAGACTAAGAGTTTTGGGGAGGAAAAATTTTCAACTTCTTCTATGTTTGAAACAGATGCTTCAGTTCCTGAAATTGAAAAGACTGAGAAGTAAGATGCAGAAACACAAGCGAGCAATGATCTTATTTTGCAGGATGCTCTTTTGAAGCCCTGGTGGACAGATATGGATGGAAAATTCTGCATGGATGGAAGATTCTGGATGCTCTTTTGTATGTTTTATGGACAGAGAAAAAGTTCCTTTATCACATCATACATGGATGGAAGATTCTACTTCTGGTGGACAGCCATCTACTTGTTGTGAACCAGAATTTCTTTGTGAAGTCCAGAGAAAATTCGACCAGAGAAAATTCGACCAGAGAAATTCTCTGTGAAATGTGAAGTTCAGAGAAAATTGGACCAGAGAAAATCTCTGTAAACTAGAATTTCTCTGTGAAGTCCAAAGAAAATTCATCTAGAGAAATTCTCTAGATCGAATTTTCTCTGACTAGTTGAGTCTAACTGATTCAATTTCCCCTTCTACAGCTTGTATTATATCTGTCAACTACACAAATGATGTGTTCTTGTACATGTGTGCTTTTGGTATTGTTGTTGTTTCTTGGTAATAAAGTTTGTGCATCATTTGTGCTGTTTAGTTACTGATATAGAGGTTGATGAAGATGTCGAACAAGAAGATAAACCTGGAGTTCGAAACCTTCAGCATCTCTGTGTTCTACAAGAGGCAAAGCAGTCAAGTAAAAGTCCTTTTCATCTCGTTATTGCTCCGAGCCTTCACTTCCAACTCGGCCGAATCTAGTGACCGTGACGATAATTCGGGCTTAAGCATTAGCGATTGTATGGAAAAGTGCTAGAACAATTGCAGTTGTGTTAGGTTCATCACAAGCAATAGCAATGCTAGTCTAGAGAAATTCTCTGGGTTCCAAATTAAGCATTCTAGGTTCCAAATTGTGAATTGAAATTTTTTTTTTTTCATTTGAAGTTGAAACCAGAGAAATTCTCTGGTTTTTGAACTGAATTTTCTCTAGGTTGAAACCAGAGAAATTCTTTGGTTTTTGAACTAAATTTTATCAGGGTTGGTCCAGAGAAATTCTTGCCAGAATTTCTCTGGACTCAAAGCATTCTAGGTTCCAAATTGTGAATTGAAATTTTTTTTTTTTCATTTGAAGTTGAAACCAGAGAAATTCTCTGGTTTTTGAACTGAATTTTCTCTAGGTTGAAACCAGAGAAATTCTCTGATTTTTTAACTAAATTTTATCAGGGTTGGCCCAGAGAAATTCTTCCCAGAATTTCTCTGAACCAATTTTCTCTGTGACGTGAGATGATGACAATGGTCATGATCCGGCGCTGAAGAAGTTGCAGAACTCTCCCATTAATGGAAGACTGAAGCAGAAATATAAAGGCCACGAATTGTATACGAAACACAATGGCAGAAAGAATTTTGAATTTACAGCCAATACATTGTTTTTTCTTAGGAATTGGGAAGAACTTGCATCAGGTGATAAAAGGGAAGGGGGAAAAAAAAAAATCATTCGTAAACTTCTTCGAGATAAAAAAGACATTTCTTGATTATCAGTGCACAAACATTCACCAAAAACATGCATGGTGTATGTGTGGCTCCCTCTGCATAAACTTCTGAGAATAATTAGATTTTTCAGAGAAATTTGGACTGAAATTTCTCTGGACTGAAATTTCTCTGCACCAATTTTCTCTGGACTGAAATTTCTCTGGATCAAGGTTGAGGGACCTTAGACATCATAAAAATATTTGATATCCTTTATGCTATAAAATCATAATATCAAGGACCTTAAAAAAAAACCCTATTATATATTGATGATGCTATGTCGGATCGCAATATACATATTTTTAAAAATCATTCTGCAATATTATATATTGATGACGCTATGTCGGATCACAATTTACATATTTTTAAAAATCATTCTACAATATTATATAAATAAGTATATTTTTTTAAAAAAAATTCTTTTGTTTTTGTTTTTTATATTTGTGTAGTTTGATAGAATGTAAATATTCAATATTATTTATAAAATTAGAGAGAAAATTAATTGAGATTTGTGAAAATAATATGTAACCATTGGAACATGAATGTTATAATTTGATAAATTAATATTATAAATTGTCAAATTATAATAATAGTAATACTATTATAATATTTATCGTTAGAGAGGTTCTTAAGGCATATTTTCACAAAATGACAAAATATATATTAGAGCTTTGCAGTTATGATATATTATTTGGTATTTTAGGATAAATCTTCACACTTTAATAGCTTCTTAAAAACTGATGTAAAACCTAATGATCCTATTCGTATGTAATAATAAAAAATAAAAAAATCAAGACAATATAATTTTTCTAACATTATACTATAATTTTTTTATATTGAGGTCTCATGTAACATGAGAGTGTTTTAGTTAAAAAATTAAAAAATTATTAAAAAAATTAAAAAGTCACTGCACACCTAAGCCTATCACTACTAGAAATAAGGTTTTTTGCGTCTATTTTTTTGCGACTGATTATTTTACCGTCGCAAAAAATCACTTTTTACACCAAATTGTCATTTTATTTAAACCCCCAAATCGTGTTCTTAACTTAAACAAAAAAAAAAGGAAAAAATCGATTTCGGTTCTCTTTCAATTTCCAAATCAATCGCTTATTTCCCAACAAACGATTGACCTAAGGACCGACCTCCAACGGTATCTATCCCGTATTTTCCAAATCGATTTCCCAAATCGATCCCTTATCTCTTTCAGCCCTATCTATCCCTTATTTCCCAAATCGATTTCACTCTCTTCGTTGAAGACCGACCTCTAACGGTATGAACTCTCTCTCTCTCTCTCTCCACTCTTCACTTTTCATTCTCTCTCGTTCGACTCTCTCTTTGGACTCTCCATCACAATTTTGTTGTTCATTTGAAGATTTTGATCAATTGTTGATGAAGATTTGAAGGTTTTGATCGATTGTTGATGAAGATTTGAAGATTTCAATTGATTCATAATCGGTAAGCCTAATTTCTATGAATGAATCCAACTTTCTCTCTCTATTATATCTATTAGATGTGTTTAATGATTTCAATATTCTGCGATTTGGAGGTTTTGGGGAGGTTTTAGTTCTCTGCTCTTCATTATTCTGTTGAGTTTCAATATGCTATTGATTTCAATATTCTATTGATTTCAATATTCTGTTGAATTTAATTCGTTCTTGAAAACAACAGAGGTGTTTGAACCTCTAGGAACAATCTCTATCTACTCTTACTGTTTTTACTGTGATTTCATCTGTGTTGTGTTGATCCAGAATTGTTGATCCAATTGCTTGTACACAGCTATGTTAGGTACTAATATCATGAGTACAAATAAAGCTTTGAGTATGTTGTTGGTTCTATAAGCATTTTATTTATTGTTCATTTTACATCATCGCAAAAGTCAAAGATGAAAAATCCTTCTGTAGTTTGTCAATATTTATTTAAGGAGTGCTTTTCTCTACAAAAGTTATTTTTTTTGTAAAATCCCATGAAGCCTTCACTCTCTCAATCTCCTCCTTTCCTCTTCATCTTTCAATCCCAACAAGGTATTTCAATTTCTCTCTCTCTCTCTCTCTCTCTCTCTCTCTCTTACTTCAGTTTTTTTTTTTCCGAAACCCTAACTTTCTCTCACTAGAGATTCATTTTTATATTTTTTTTTTGTTGTCATAGATTTCTTACTGCTCAAATTCTCGGTGCCCTAGCTGTATGGCCGTCAAATCCCAAACGATGATGTCGGAGAAATCGATATCAGAAAATAGAATGCTGGTGAGTGTACCATCCTTTCGGTTGCTGAGAAAGTGCTGGAAAATTGAAGGGAATGAGGGAAATTTCTGATTTCTGTTTGGCATTGGAATTCATGCATTTTCTCAGTAACCAAAGAGAGCATTTAATTCAATTAGGTTCTCATATATAATTGTGTTGGTTTTCAGGTGTTTGTTCCTCCA